AGTCCTGCTCTGTGCTGCTCTGACTTGCTAGCTAGCCCTGCTCTGCTCGGCCTTGGTTCAGCCTGGTGAGCCCTGATGGGCTTGGCTCAGCTCAGTTCCATGCTGTGAGCTCCAAGAGGGACAGAAGCACTCTGTGAACATTCTCCTTGTGGAATACTAGCTTCACAAGGGAGGAAGCAAGTGCGAGCGCTGCTATGGGCTCTGCGAGCCTACTAAGAACTCTGAGAGCTCACTGAACTCAGCCAATAACGAAACTATACTTGAACAGCTCCAAATTGTACATACTGTATGAAGTTTGTCCTCCAAACAGGTTTCTTATTTTTATGTGGCATTTCATACCTTGCAAGGTCCTGTAAATAAAATTAAATTCTACCCTTTTCTTTTAAAAAAAGAAAAATAAAAAGAATGTGGTGTTAGTGCCTCACATCTTTTTCCAATTCACTGAATCTATTTGATCCACCCATCAGAGGAGGGAAAAAAACCTCACAAAACACCTCCCAAGTAGGCCAGCCTCACAGAGTGTGGCATCCTACCATCTGCCCCCTGAAGCTGAAAGTTTTAAAGACCTACCTAAGCCTGTATCTCGTCTCCAGAGTCTGGCTTAATGAGTACAGGGTGAAATGGGGATTCTTCAAAGGCCCCAGAGTTGAGAAATCTTAGATTTGGAATAAACATTTCCGTTCAAGTCAACTTAGCCCTTCTCTACATTTTTCTTCACTGACTAAAAAGTTTAAATCTTTTTAGTATGAATTCTTACAGAATCCTTCTAACTTCTTGCTTATGTTAACTGCTGCTCTCAACTTACTAACGTTTGTGATGCTAATTTAGACAGGTGAAATAAATAATTGATACCACATTCAGCTTCAACAGCTAGAAGTCAAACAGATGGAAACCATCATATTGTAAGTCTCTCAAAGGAAAAGACATGCCTTGTTCATCAATGTATTTCCACAGTATCGTACCATCATCCTTGGATCAAAGCAGGCGCCTAATACATATTTTGGAGGGACAACTTGCATGTACAGTCTGCTTCCAATTTTTAAAATATCTGTAATATATATGACATGCATGTAATTGGAAAACAGTTTGGGGAGAGTAAGGAGTACTTGCTCATTTGATTTACTGTTTTCTAGCAGCTTTCCTAAGATATAAATCACATGCATACCATTTGCCCATTTAATGTGCACAACTCCATGGTTTTCCTATATTAACAGAGTTGTGTAACCATCACCAAATCAATTTTAGAACATTCATCACCCTGAAAGGAAACTCTATACCCATTAGCAGTCACTCCCATTCCTCCCAATCTCAAGACCTAGAAAACCACTCATCTAGTATGTCCCTAGGGATTTACCTATTCTGGACACTCTTAACAATGGAACTATGTGCTATGAGGTCTTCTGTATCAGGCTTCTTTCACTTCCCATAAGGTTTTCAAGGCTTATCCAAGATTGCATTGTGTACCAACCCTTCATTCATTTTTATTGCCAGACAATATTTTATTGTGTAGATATAAAGCATGTTATCTCTCTCTTCATCAGTTAATGGACACTTGAATTATTTTCACTTTGGACTATGATGCCTAATGCTGCAAGGAATATTTGGTTTTGTGGGGACATATATGTTTATTCCTCTCGAGAATATACCCAGGAGTGGAATTACTAGGTCATATGGTAACTCCCACTTTTTGAGACACCACTGAACTGTTTTCCAAATTGGCTGCTCCATTGTACATTGCCACAATGTCCCCTTCCTTCCCCGCCTCCCCTTTCAAGCATCCAGGTCTTTCTTTTCCTATTGCCTCAAGGAAAGGATGTGACTGGCTGAAAGAGGAAACAAAGGCGAGCTCCTGACTTTCATTTCCAAAACGTTACCCCCTTAGGGGACCAATGGAGACTCACAGCATAGACAAGGGGCTTAGAGGGAGGCCTTCCGTCACTCCACTCCACCCTGATCTTTAACACAAAGAAAAGTTTCCTCTCGGGCTGGTTTGAGAACAAGAGACCAGAGAGAAGAGACAACTGTCAAAGGGACTCAGAAGGTCATTGCTGGAAGACTGGCCTGCTCGCTTTAATAAGCAGACAGCACAAAGTTCAGAGAGGAACTGGCCAGAATCCAGACCCTGGGGCTCTTAGAGGGTCTTGCAAATATTTCCTCACCCCGATGACAGGCGTGAAGAGTATGTGGTTCAGCTGCACTCAAAGCTGATACAGAGAGGCCAGGTTGGCAGGACCAAGGGACATCTCAATAACAACATACAGACAAAGGACAAGGGCTATTCCCTAATATTTTGGAACTACATAAATCTCTGGGAACTTAGATTTAATCTCAAGGAGAAGAAAGGATGAGGGAACCCCAAACTAAGATTCGTTATCTAACAGTCTAGCAAAAGACAAGTTAGAAATTCAAATGAAATTGTGTTTGGGCCAAGTCAAGAATCCTATTTTCAAGGTATGCACTAAGGTTAGAACCTACCATATAAGATTAGAAAGACTAAAGAAATTAAAGATACAAAAAAGTATAGGAAAAGATACATCTACTATGGACAGTATCAGGTGTTTATCTAGAAAAGAGATTGCTATCCAGACTTACATATATACAGGCCAGACTACTGTGAGGAAGAAAAGGTGACTGGCCAGCCTGCTTATCAGTTGTATTTGCTCTTTCTCAAGATAATTCCAGGGTTGCAGTCTTTTTTAGGCTGATCATACATCCT